CTGCTCTGCTGATTGGACACAAGGCTGGCTCATCCCTTGAGTTATGGGCTCAGAGTTAAGTGGCTTTTTAAAGAAAAACTGGACCAAATATGAGAGAAAAAGTAAAAAATATCCAAACAAAAACTCTAAAGACCTCAGAAATCCTGCATAAGTGTTTCTAAAGAACACTTTAAAGGACGTCTGGCTGCTTTGAGGGAAGAAATAAAGATAATAAAGGTGTCTGAAGACTTTTTAAACTGATCTTTATCCTTCTGATCCACTTTAAACTGCTGCTCTGCTGATTGGACACAAGGCTGGCTCATCCCTTGAGTTATGGGCTCAGAGTTAAGTGGCTTTCCAAAGAAAAACTGTACTGAAAATGAGAGAAAAACTCAAAAACATGCAAAGAAAAACCCCAAAAGAGCTTCAGGTAGTTCTGTGTGGACACAACGCTGGCTCACCCCTTGAGTTAGGGGCTTCTTAAAGAGACAGAGCTTCTTAAAGAGACAGAGCTTCTATTTGGACTCCTTAAAGAGACAGAGCTTCTATTTGGACTCCTTAAAGAGACAGAGCTTCTATTGGGACTCCTTAAAGAGACAAAGCTTCTATTTGGACTCCTTAAAGACACATCTGATGAATTGAGCCCTCAATCAGGATTTCTATTTAGTTTCTCTTCATTTACTTTAGGATTTGAGTGAAAAATAACAGATATTTGACATTTCTGCTGGTATTCATGAGGGTCATGAGGTCAAAGGTAAAACCAATTCCTCAAAATCCACAAAAGCCGCCACATTTTGGACAAAACCCTCACATCAGATGTTGAATTTAACCAATTCCAAACAATATTTACCTAAAGTCCCTCATGGTCTGAGTCTGTTTTTTCCGTGTCGTGGCTCTGATAATATTGATCAAAGGCTGGAGCCAATCACACGCCCACTAAGTCAACAGGCCACTCCCCATTGGTCCCCGGCCACCAGACCAGTATCCGGACCTGTGGACCACAAGGCCAGGCCTTTATCTGGTCTCTGTGGGGTCCAGAGTCCATTATCTGGTCCCTGGGGGGTCCAGAGGCCATTACTCAATTAAATTAAATTCAATTCAATTCAATTTTATTTATATAGCGCCACATCACAACAACAGTTGTCTCACAGCTTTCCAAACAGAGCAGGTCAGACCTACTCTGAAGATAACTACAGAAACCCAACAATTCCCA